TCCTTGCGAAGATGCACTTTCATTCTTTGTACTGCCTTCAAATACGTCCTTCTCATGAAGGTAGAGGAATGGAGCGACTGAACCTGCAAAGAATATTTTATATCATGTTTTCTCACACATCCTTTTCTGCTGCGCTACACCCTATCACTCCTATCTTCACTACGAAACCATGATGATAGTTACTGTTACGAGGATGACCCTGACCCAGCCTGACAAGTACGACCCAACCCCCCCCCCCTTGTCGAGGATCTCCTTGAGTGAAATTCGTCCTGTTCTAGACGGCATCAGTTGTGTGAATTTAGGCTCCGCGTGTGAGCACAATGTACAATCAAAATCCAGTAAAAAAACAAAGTTTATCAACAAACGAACAATTAATACAATACAATGGGCCTGTTTGCAGGCAAATTACAGCTGCTACGATCCTAGCGGTCAGATAAGGGTGCTAAACTCAAGCGAAAAATGTGCACGATAAGTGGTGCAGGCGCACCGACAACCAACAGCTACTCGGGGAGGCTGGTAGAGATGAGCAGTTAAAACCCACCAGAGGCGAGACCCTATCATATCTTTTTGTTATCAAAAGGTACCATACGTCATATGGTACATGGTGTACCATATGATATGCCAACCATTCTAAAACAAGCACAATGATCACTATGATCTAAAACATCTCCAATCAAGCAGCTGCACCATCTCATCGTATCATATCTTCCATGGGCTTACACTCGTCCAACAATTACTGCCTCACACCTTATCGATTGATAACGCGAGGCATAGCAAATCCAGCGTGGAAGCCAGCGTTATCGCTTTCTTTAAGTCACGCTGATCGTCTTATTCCCTCTGAAGCACTTTTTGTTTCATCTGAATAGCCTCGATGCTTCCCTGGGACTTCACCAGGAACCGTGCTTCTTTCTCTCTTCAAGACGGCACCCTCAGTGGAAAGAGAATGCCATAGCAATGTAGCTACTTGTGTGTGCATACGTTTTTCTTTTTAATTGCGTTCGCTCGATCCTCACGAGCTGTTTCCTAGCATCTTGATGTCATGCTTTCGTATACCCTGTGAACGGTCATACACAATATTTAAAATAGCTGCAAACAAACAACTAGTACAATACAATAGGCCACTTTGCAGGCAAATTACAGCTCTACGATCCTGGAGGTCTGATAAAGGTGCTAAGACCTCAAAAGCGAAAGATGTGCATGATAAGAGGTGCAGGCGCACCGACAACCAACAGCTACTTGCACATAATCAAATTTTGTATTATTTAATCTTCTTCTCTCTAGTTTCCAGCTTTGAATCACCTGAAACACAACACTGATATATGTATATGGAGGACGAGGGGCTTCACCTTGGTCCGTTGTGGCAAAGTCCAGCGTGCTGCTTGATGGTCCAGTTGCTGTGAGTACGTGACAGATGAGGACGACTCGATCCAGCAAACTGAGACCTATTTCTGATGACCCCCTCGCTGCAGCATCTAGACGAGACAGTGATGAGGGTTGACACGCGGTGTAGCGGCGTTCAGCTATGCCCTGTTTCCCTGTGTGCCACGCGGGTCTTGTTGCAGTACTCCTTGCTTGAATACACAAGATATCTAGGAGCTTTATTAGAGTACACGATGATGTTGGTAGCGAACCTCAGTCCGGTATTGGGCTTCGTCGGAGAGGTGTCGACCAGTATTGAGTGGGCGCTGAACACTGGAGTCTGGACTCTAAACTGAACCTTCCCTACCATAGCTCGGTCTTATATATCGTCTTGATACCATATCTTTATCTCATGTGTTTTGGTTCTATAGATATCAATCGCCTTGATAAACATCTCGCCCTTCTGATACCAACACAGGCTTGAACGTGTACGTTCTAAAATTACACACGTAAGTTCAACAAACAAATTTATTATAAAACAAAACTAAAACCAAACGAATCTTTATTACAGTAGCTTTTGCTACACTCCCGGCGGCCTTAGTGGCCTAATTGTGTTCCATTCTTTCCACCCTTTCCAGTTGATTACGTACATCCGCAATAGCTTCTCTGATCCTATCCTTCGAATCCGGAATGGGACAGAGTGCACGATGATGTTCCCTTCTTGGAATGAGGAAACTGAGAACAGTATCGCGCACAATCTCGCAGTACCAACACTCATTATTTTTGCTCTTACAATTCTCTCCTGATCCGCACACTTTGAGGCAATACCTGCATCGTCTGTCTTCGTTGACGAGAATTTGCCGCTCCTTCAGGGTTGTATAGTCTCTACAGGAATCCGAAAAGTGCATTCCTTGCCTCCTGCAAAATGCACACTTGAGAAGGGGGTCCACATCTTGAGGACTGTCGCCGATCTTTCGTCGAGGCAGTAATCGAAGTCCTCGGCGGAGCTCGTCCAGGTCTTTTCAAGACGTCTCCTCTTCTGTTTAAGTGACGGCTGCACCTCTTCTTCTTGTGTTTGGAGATGTCCATTATTGCATT